AGTCATTCTGCCTTCTCATTGGTTGTAAACCCAAACACGTGACTGCCTCGTCACTGTCTGAATGTACAGCCCCCTAGGTCTTAAAGGCATATGTCTCTAATGCTGGCTGTATCCCTGAACACACAGAGATCTACGGGATTAAAGGCCTGTGCCACGACCGCCACACTCTGTCTATGGCTCTAATAGCTCGGACCCCCAGGCAACTTTATTTATTAACATACAATCAAAATCACATTTCGGTACAATTAGAATACCACCACAACTGATTATACAGGTATCACCTCAGTATACATGCGCTGGTATTAATGTTCTATGTTTTCAAATTTAAATGCTGGTTTTCTTGCAAATATTTATGTAGAGGTAGTAATTACAGTAATATTATTTATATTGTTTCAGTGTTCAACAGTGAAAAGCCACTTGTCTTAAAATGACTTAAATATAAAAAATAAAATAATGATTAGAGTTTGTTTTTTTTAAAAAGAATACTCTTTTTAAGGCTGGGTTGTGTACACCTTTAATCCCAGCACTTGGGAGGTAGAGGCAGGTGGATCTCTGTGAGTTAGAGGCCAGCCTGGGCTACAGAGTGAGTTCCAGGAAAAGGCACCAACCCTGTCTTAAAAACACACACACACACACAAAAAAACAATTCTCTGTTTAGATCAGTACCCTATTTTTTAATTGGATTATTTGATATTTTGATGTCTAGTTTCTTGAGTTCTTCATGTATTTTGGAGATCAGCCCTCCATCAGATATGGGTTAATGAAGATCTTTCCCACTCTATAGGCTGCTGTTTTGTCTTATTGACAATGTCCTTTGCCTTATAGAAACTTTTCAGTTTTAGGAGTTCGCATTTATTAATTTTTCAGTGTCTTTGCTACTTGTTTTATTCAGTGATTTGTATACTGTGCACATGCACTCAAGGCTATTTCCCACTTCTTTGATCAGGTCCTGTGTAATTGGATTTATGTTGAGGCCTTTGGTCCACTTGGACTTGAGTTTTGTGCAAGGTGATGGACATGAAACTATTTGCATTATTCTACATGCTGACATTCAGTTATGCCAGCACCATTTGTTGAAGATGCTTTTTTTTTTTTTTCCATTGTATAATTTTGCCTTTTTCTTTTTTTGGTCAGAAAATCAGGTGTTCATAGGCATGTGAATTTACCCCAGGGTCTTCCATTTGATTCCATTGATTCACCTGTCTGTCTTTATGCAAATACAATGCTGTTTTTTTTTATTACTACAGCTCTGTAGAAGAGCTTAAAATCAGAAACAGTGAGACCTTGGGAAGTTCCTTTATTGTACAGGATTGTTTTTGCTATCATGGTTTTTTGTTTTTCCACATGAAATTTAGTATTGTTCTTTCAAGGTCTGAATTGTATTATAAGGCACTTAGTGTTATGAACTGCCTTCATTGTGCCCCATAAGTTTCGATATGTGATGTATTCATTTCTATTCATCCTATTCTAAAATGCCTTTAGTTTCTTTCTAATCTCTGTCTTGATACATTTTTAATTCTATAGTAAGTTGTTCAGTTTCAATGCATTTGTAAACTTTCTATTGTTGATATCCAGCATTAATCTATGGCAGTCAGATAAATGCAAGCTGTCATTTCAGTTTTCCTGTATCTGTTGAGACTTACTTTGTGTCTTAGTATATGTTTAACTTTGGAGAAAGTTCTATGAGGTGGAGAAAAGAAGTTATACTCTTAAGTGTTTTGTTTCAATGTTCTATAAATATCTGTGAATTCCATTTGGTTTATAGCATAATTTGCTCTAGTTTTTCTTTTAATGTATATTATGTCTCTTGGCAAGAGTGGAATATTGAAATTTCCCACCACCAATGTGTGAAGATCAATATGTGATTTAAGCTGTAGTAGTGTTTTTGTTTATTTGTTTGTTTGTTGTTTTTACAAACTTTGATGGATTTGTGTTTGGGGCATACATGTTAAGAACTGAAATGTGGGGCTGGAGAGATGGCTCAGAGGTTAAGAGCACTGACTGCTCTTCCAGAGGTCCTGAGTTCAATTCCTAACAACCACATGGTGGCTCACAACCATCTGTAATGAGATCTAGTGCCCTCTTCTGGCCTGCAGTCATACATGCTGTATACATAATAAATAAATAAATCTTTTTTAAAAAAAGAACTGAAATGTTATATTAGTGGAATTTTCCATTAAGTAGTATAGAATATCCTTCCTATCTCTTTTAATTTGAAGTCTGTTTTGTCAGCTATTAAAATGGCTATGCTAGCTTGCTTCTTAGAACCATTTACTTGGAATATTATTTTCTAAATCTTTATGTTGATGGAATGTCTAGTCTTGATACTAGGGTATCTTTCTTGGATGCACCAGAAGGATGGATTTTTTCTCACATCCACTCTCTTAGTTTGTGACTATTTATTAGGGAATTGAAATCATTGACATTGAGTGATATAAATGAGCAATAATTTTTTATCCCTATTATTTTGTTATTCTGGTAGTTGTCCTTATTGGTGGTAGAGATGGTGGTGTGTTTGAATTTGTGCTTCCCGCTTCTGATTTACCCTTCTTTTGATTATTTATTCTTTGTGTTTTCTTGGGTGTAGTTAACCATTTTAAGTTGGAGTTTTCCTCCTAGATCATTCTTTGTGGCTGGAGTTGTCACTAGATATTGCTTAAATTTGGTTTTAGCATGGTTTGTCTTACTTTCTTCATCTATAGTAATTAAAAGTTTTGCTGGGTATAGTAGTCTGGACTGACATTTATGGGCACTTAGAGTCTGAAGTACATCTGTCTAGGCTGTTCTAAGTCACTGTAATTTTAATAGGACTACCTTTATATGTTACTTGTTCTTTTTCTCTTGTAGCTTTTAATATTCTCCCTTTATTCTGTATGTTTAGTGTTTTTGTTATTATGTGCCAAGGGGTCTTTCTCCTCTAGTCCAGTCACTTTTTGTTCTGTTTGCTTCTTGTGTTTTGGTAGGCATCACATTCTTGAGTTTAGGGAAATTTTCTTCTATGGTTTTGTTTAAAACATTTTCTGTGATTTTGACCTGGGTTTTTTCTCCTTCCTCAATTCCTATTATTCTAGATTTCATTTTTTTCATACTCTCACAGGTTTCCTTGACCTTTTTTTTTTTTGCTAAGGGTTTCTTAGATTTAATATTTTCTTTGACCAATGTATCCATTTCTTCTATTATGTCCTCAAAACATGAGATTTTGTCTTTCATCTTTTGTCCTGTTTGTGAAACTTGACTGTGTGGTGCCTGTTTGAGTTCTGCAGTTTTTCATTTTCACATTTCCTTCAGATTGGGCCCTCTTCATCTATTCTATGTCCACTTTCTAGTCTTGAACTTGTTTTATTCATTTCCTTCCACTGTTTGTTTTTCATAGATTTCTTTAAGGGATTTTTCATTTCCCCTTTAAGGACCTCTATCATATTACAAAGGTTATTTTGAGGTCGTTTACTTTTGTTTCAGATAATTTGGAATATTCAGGGCTTATTGTGGTAAGGTTACTTAGGCTCTAGTGGAGATATATTGTCATGGCTGTCATTGATTGTGTTTTTACCCTGGTGTTGTGACATCTAGGAGTGGAAAGATCATTATTCTAGGTCCTGGTATCAGCTTCTGTCTTTTTTGGGTGGATAATTTGTTTCTGGGTTTTGTTTCCTCTGGTTTATAGGAGAATGGGGTGGCTGTGTGTTGCTGTAGAAAAAATTTCTGGGGTCATGATAGGTGTGAGCACTGGGAGTTCCAAGTAAAATGTGTTTCAGGTTTTTGTACCCGAGATTTAGGAATGTGGAAAAGGCTGTGTGTAATGGATTGGGTTTCACAAAAGAGAGGAAATCAAGGTCTTCCACCAGGATCTGCTTAGTTAGTTCCCTAGTTTCTGAGAATTAAGAAAGGCCACAGCAAAAGGTTTGCTAAAGAGCTGGAATGACATGGGGAATTGGACTTGGAGAATTGGAGGGAGTGGTGAAGATCGGTATTTATCTTACGTACTTTCGTGGAAGGAATGACCTGTAGGTGTCCAGGGAGTCCCTGATGTAGTTGGAGACTTGGAAAATGCAGTGAGTTAGGGGAGGGAAATTAAGTGGCAAAATTCTGTGTGATCCACTGGAGATAGGGGCAATCTGGAGGAGGAGGCCTTAGCAGGTTGTCTGATGCAGAGCTAAGGATGAGAGTGGGGGATTGAATTTTGAGGAGCAGAAGAAGAGGTGAAGGTCTAGAGTTAGCCTACCTGCTCTCCTGGCCAAAGTCAAGCTTTCATTTTTCTTCCAGTCTATTTCTTAAACTCACAATATGCATGGAAAAATCTACACTAGAATATCCTCATTTAACTAAAATTGTACCCATCTGCAATTTGTATATAATAAAATATATAAAATGTGTCTAACAACTGAGTGGGTTGCATTATACTAGTCATACTCAGCAATTCATCATTAAATTGGCACTTTTTTGGCTCATGGGTAGCAGCTGTTGAGTTATTATGGTTAGACACTCATCTGTCTTGATTCTTTCTCCTCCTCTGCCTCTTTTTCTTCCTCTCCTTCTCTTCCTTCTAATGATCTTTTGCTTTCTCTACTTCCTTCTCTCTGAGACTGAGTCTCACTGTGTTGTCTAGAGTGGCCTGGACTTTTGGGCTCAGGTCATTTTCCTGTATCATTTTCTGAGAGCTGGAACTATAAGAGTGATTCCATGCTTGGCTTGTGATGGTTAAGTTTTATGAATCCAATAGAATAGGACACAGTGCACAGATATTTTGGAAAACATTAACATTAATCTGGGCATATTTACAAAGATTGTGTGTGTGTGTGTGTGTGTGTGTGTG